ATTTTTATAACATCTCTCTGTCCTGCTTCGAATCTCGGCTTTTTCATTGGCATTGGGTTAAAACTAACATGATTGCAGACTACAGAGGTCTCTTCATCCTTCAAACACTGATTGTGTTTCCACGGCACAGTTATGTTTATAGCAAAATGTATTTCCTCCTGGGCAGTTACTTAAATCTTCCAACAATAAAAATTCATTTTTAATTTTTGAAAGTGAAAAATAACTTGACCTGAGTTCCCAGCCTACATAATTTTAGTGTCAGAATTCACAGACATACTGTGCTTTCCCTAATTTAAGGAGGAATGATGAAAGAGAAATTTATTTCTAATTGAAATACTACATAAAAGTAAATACCAAGAGAAAAATTCCACAGTGGGTTCATTTATTCTGATGATTATTCCTTGGCTTAAAGTTTAAAATACATCCTCTAAATTTAAACAAACTTCTTTAAAAACATGAGAAGATGGTGTCTAAAGAGGCTATATGTATAACTTAACCATGTTAATATAATTTTACCTTGTAATAAAACGCAATCTGGCTTGACCACCTTGTTAGTATAGCTGTATTTCCCTTGCAAATGTAAGGCATCTTGTGGTGCCCCCATGAGTTTGCTGCGGGGCCCTGAGACATCTCTGCGCACAGTGTGGGAATCTCTGTTCTGCTCTATGCAGCCTGCTTGTGACTGAACAGCTTAGTGCATGCTTCTTTTGAGAAAAAAAGTTGATTTCCCCCCATGTAAAGCACAGATTGAATTCACAGTATTAATTAATTTTCACTTATTTGGGGACATAATATTCAAAATTAAGTAATCACCTTTTTAGAATTCTATGGCCTTGGTGAAAAATTAGAATTGACAAATAGCCCCCTTGTTGCTACAGAATGATTTTGAAAGTGTTACTGAAATGAATAAAATTATGGATATTTGAAAACTGTTCTTATATAATATTGTGTTATATTTTTCCTAAGAGCTTTGTTATAAATTTAATTACTTGATTAAAATTTTTGTAAGGAGTCTTAAGAAAGAAAATATGATACTCCAGCTTCTTTATATTAAATGGCATGCCTCGTGGTTAGCAGAAAATGAGTAAGTCTGAATTTTGATTTTTTCTAACTACTCCAAGGCTAAGCTAAGCATAGACCACCATTTCCCTTGCCAGTGATTAGTTTAGGAGCGGCTCTGACCTTCTGGCTAATTAAATATAATGGGAAAGTCAGCCGGTGGGGCTTCTGGGAAAGGTTTCCTCTGATAAGAAGAGAAAACAGAAAGAAATGCTTCTTTCCCTGGACACTGCTGTGTCTTCATGTGGTGTGCTGAACTCTGGCAGCTTATTTCGTGACCATGAGTAGAGGTAGCTGAGGACAAAACCAACAAACTCAGGACAACAAAGCAGGACAGCAGATTCCTGGGTCCTCAAAGAGGATGTTGAATTAACCTGTCCTGAACAAATCTACCTTGTCATTTTTGCAGTGAAAGAATAACTATTCCTTATATATTAAGCACCCTACATTGATACAGTTAGTCTTATTTCTTAATTATGGATGGTATTCAAACTAAGTTAAAGAGTCAAGGCCCTTATGGCCCTAGAGTGTGGGTGATCAAATGTACTTTGAAGGACCTTCCCATTTGATTCTTAACACTTTATCTTCTAATTCTTACTGCCCTCCCATTGAGGACCTCTGGAAGAAGATAGTTATGAAATTCAATTAAGAGGACTTGAAGAATGACTGATTTTATTTGGGAATCAGGAAAGGGAAGGGGTCTAGACAACCACCATGTTTTGGTTTGGGTAACTGGGTAGGTGTTGCTGCTGTTCTAGGTGGTAAGGACTACAACTAAAAGAATTACTTCAGTTTTGCATATTCTGAATTTGAGGTGTCAGAAATTGGTACTGCAGAGTAAATATATAATCCCTGAGTCAGAAATATCTAAACTGCAAGACGATGAGATTTGGTAGTTGTACTGGAACCATGGGTGAAAATGAAATTGCCTTGGCAGATACACCTTATTGGTGTGGAAGAGAGGAGGTGTAGAACCTTGGAGGCAGGGGAAGAAGTAGTGGAGAAAGAAGAAAAACAATTAGTGATGTCAACAATGACATGACTCATTTCATCTTAGATTCTTCTCTGAGAAATTCCAAGACATTTGTAATTATTGAACTTTCATCAGGAGGTAGACTCTACATATTTTAGTTTTTTCAAAAAGTAGATTCTTAAATGCTTTTCCCCCTTTTATTTGATTAATTTGTAATGTTGAACAGTAGCGTTGTGGGATGAAGAGTTAATAAACCCCTCTAACACTAGCAGTTTACTCTCTTCTCCTTTATTTGACTGTACAGCTTATTAATACAAATGTGGGATATAGTACCAAAAACACCCACCCCAATGTATAAATTTTCATCAGTCCTTATTTCCAGTCATTTATAGGACAGCAGATGTGTTGTTTTTAGGGCATATGCATATATATGTGTTATGCCCTTTGTATTTTGCTCTTCATAATTGTATATTCTACTTCATTCTTTTTGTTATTACTATTTTTAACACTTAACATTTTAGTCAATGTGTTCTTTTTATATAAAAATAAAATATATTTGAGAGATTTAAGATGATCTGGAAAACTCAAATAATTTTTCTTGGCCAAGGAAATCAGGTATTGCCTGAAAACAAAGCCTGTAGAGAACAGAGAAACAAAACTTTTGAAGAGTGTGATCTTAAATCTTTTACATAATCTATGGATCCCAATTCAGAACTGTGCGTGTGTGTTTGATATCAAAATCACCTTATGATGGAAATATCAGACTTTATGAACACTTCCAATGAATATAAAAGTATAATTTCCAATTAACATTATTGCTGAAAGGATCCCCCCCAAAAACCCATTTGCATGTATCTTATTCCTCCCTTCAACTCTCTCTCACTCTCTCTGTCTCTCTGTCTTTTCTTTTTTAACTTCAGTTTGAATAGCACCTGTAATTAAGGAAGAAAACCGAGCCCTGGGAGCTAGGTAGGACTTTCAGCTATTGATCTGTGTAAACCCAGCTTATACTGTCAGGGGAGAAACAGTCAACTGCTGAGTTGCTTTGTCACTGACATAAGCTGAGAGAGGATTTTTTTGTCTATACTGTTTATACACTAGTCTATAGACCTGCTGGCTGGTTGAATTTTAAAGAGTGCGGAGGTTTAAAGACTTGTCCCCTGAGGGATGCTTCTGCCAGTTGGGAAGCGAGCTGAGGCTGTTTTGCAGAAGTGTGTGCCTGTGTGTTTCGTGTAGAAGGAGGGAGGGGGAGGGTGTGAAAGATTGAGCAACTAACCGGGAAACATTCTTCTTAATTTGAGTCTTAAAAAATTGATGGGAAATATATTACTACTTTGGGTGTATTTAGAAGTAGACAGTGAGTTTGAAATATCTATATTGTTACAGAAATTATGTGAACTTTGTAGGGGGGATATCAAAATAGTGTTCATGGGCGTAGTGAATACGATAAATGGCTTCACTTTTTGTAGCAAGACAAGGATTAGCAATGGTCAAGTGAACTGTTTTCAGTTTTAGTAATTTAAATTATTTCAAGTTTAGCAGCTCTTTTAATTACATGTAACAGAATGCTTTCAATAGTAAAACAGCTTTTTCTAAATATGGGGTCTGTGCTCATATTTTTAAAGGTATGTATGTGTTCATAAGCAAACCAGGGTACCCTTCCCTAAAGGTAGAAGGTTGCTTTTTTACATGATGCTTTTCTTTCTGCTTTAGCGTCATAAGGCTTTTGAAGCTTTCATAGGTATTGCCATTGGAATTTCGCAATGTGATGTTATTAATTAATACCTCATTGTAGTCTACAGGTTAAAAGAACTTAATAGATTCTACTTTAAAACACTCAGTATTATGTTTCTGCAGAGGATTTAAATATTCAGATATTAATATTTTCTCTGGACGCAAATTTTATTGGTAAAGAGGTGGTAGTTTTGATGGGGGTGACTACTGCCTGAAGATATTTGCTCTTTTTTTCTTTCTGATAGGAAACATTCTCCTAAATCTCTGCTTTGTCTTGTAAAGTTACCTGGCTTTGAACTTATATGATGTGATCTTCAATTCTAAAGTTTAAGTTTAGAATCAGAGTTAATTTTTAGTTGTTTTTCATATATAACAAAATAGATCTTTCTCAGTTTTTTGCCAAGCGTCCATTATTTGTATTTTATTATGATTGTTAACGAGTATGACTTCCAAAAGCTTTTAAAATTATTTTATAATGACTATAAAATCACTGCAGGTTTCAAAATCAATAGGTTATTTTCTGTGCTCAGTTAAAACATTGATTTTCATATGAGGCAATTCATAAACAAAAATGCATAGAATAGAAGGTATGTTGTTTTAAATTTAAAGGCTTATTTTTAGATACGCATTTTTTTTAAAGAATGTTATTTGAGATAAACTTGATGTTACTCTTGTTGAAGTTACTGAGAGAAACATATAAATGTGTTTCTTTAGCCATAGAATGTCTTTTTTTTTTTAACCATTTTACTATGGGACATGTAGCGTTGTTTTACCTCTCAGTAATTCTTTCTGCTGCCAACTTCATTCCCTTTTCTCTGCCTGCATTTTAATTGAAACAACATTTATATTTTTGAGCCAGGATCTGTCAGAAGTCCCTGTGGCTAGTCTGTGGTACAAGTAGCAGCAGACGTAGCTTACCCATATGGTGCGGTGCTTCTTGTAAAATCCATATGGCCTTGTTGAAGGGAATCCCAGCGGGGATGTGAAGGGTGTTAATACCCTTCAGGCCAGGCCTTTCCCTCCTGGGGCTTCCGTGGCATTGTCAGTGCAATCTGCCAAAGCACCAACTTAATTCCTTTTTAATAATCAATTATTTTAGTCTAGGAACCTGTGCTATTTTTCCTAAGGAAAAAAAAAAACAAACTTTTTTCCTCCCTAGAAAATGTCTCAAGAAAAGTTTTAACTGCATCTTTTAAAATATTCTAAAGCTTTTTTTTTTAATTTGCATTTGCAGGAAGTACTACAGAGCGTGCCCAAGTTCTGTTTCCCCTTTGACATTGAAAGGTACAGTATAAGGGTATATAAGCCATCATTCAAAGTAACTTCAGCTCATCTTAGTGAACACTTTAAAATGATGACATGTGTCTTTTAGTAAAAAGAAATGTCTTTCTCTTCACCGCTTCTAACAACAACAAAAAAATTAAATAATATTTGGAGAGAAGTAGCCTTTTTACATCACTATATCTTTTGTTTTCTCCACTGTGGCCAGTTAGAAGGCTTAAGGATCCGTTTCTTCCTTTTGTTCTTCAGGTACATATTGTAAGCACCTGCAGAAAAAAATATCACTGTGTCCTTAATCAGAGCCTTAGAATTGTGTCTTTTAAAATGAGATGTATATATCCTGGTTTCTATCTCACTTCACCCTAATTGAAAAGACCATCTGTGTGATATTGTAAAACCCATGACTAGTTGTCTCCCAAGAATAGCTGTATAGAAATAGTGCAATATTATGGAAGGCTGCAGGGAAACCCTCCCAGCAGTTTTGAAAATCTCATTATGTTTGTATTTTACTGAACAAATACTGAATGAATAGAGTATTACCTGTGTGTAGTTGGAATTTCACAGAATATATGGGCCTTTGAGCGTAAAAACAGGTCACTTGTTTCTCACGTGATTTTCACACCCTATTATCAGTTTTTTAAGAGTATGATATGAGGGGTTTTAAAAGAAAATTTATTTTCAGAAAATATTTTGCTAAAGTAAAGATGAGTAAAAATCTGAAATTTACAATATTTAAGATCATGCCTTGTGAGTGATGGGCTAATTGATACTAATAAGTATCGATACCCCTTGTTTTACCTCCTTTCTGGAGAGTAAATTGTGCTTGTTAAACTTGCAATTTTCAAACTAATAGCAAAGATAAAATAAACGAAGAAAAGCTCTCGAAAGTATATTGTGAACATTGAGCACTAGAGGGCACAGCAGGCACTAGAGGTTGTTTTTGAAGTTTGTGAAATTGTTTTCAAAACCGTCCACTTCAAAGTGTGTTTGGTAAATGTTCAGCACTTGAAATACAGGATTTCCTGACAATTGAAGGCAATTTGTAGTATTGGCATGCTATAGTAGTAAAGTAACTTACTTCTTTTTACCCAATTCCTGTGGCTGTTTCAAAACCAAAATTTTCGGTGCGATGGATATCTTACCTTGGGACAAGGAAGCAGATGTTCAGTTATGGTTGTCTAAGGGCAAGATTATAGCCAGTAACAGGAAATGTATTTCTATAGTTCAAATGCTGATAAAGATTCAGTGTAATAATTTACATTGCACCTTACACTGCAATGTGACACAGAGTATGTGTGATAGCCTGATACTCAGGTCACGGTTCACTTAAATTCTTCATAGTAAGCTTTTTCTGTAGAAATTGCACTCTTGTTTTGCGCTTGGAAATCTACTCAGTGTATGGGTAGCTCTAGAAGAGAATGCTAAAAAAAATGCCAATAGTAATTTTTATGGTACTTTACTGGGTGAGAATGTCAGCAGAAGAAGCAATTAAACAGAGTTGGTAGGGGCTGCCATTGGATTCTAAAGCAACGTGATTTGCTGTCTAAGCAATTTTAAAATAAAATCATGAAAATAGAGGCAGGAGTTGAGCAGAATCAGTCATCGTGTCTTGGTTCTCACTTCCATGGTCTCAGTAAGAGTATTTTCAGATTTATGGAATATTTTGTAAGTACTTTCAGGCATGTGCCAGCTTACGGTGAAATACCTTATGATTCCCTACTAAGGGGTTAGTCTGTATATGTTTAATTGCTCAGCCTGTAAGATGTTGCAACTTACTGTGATATTCAGCTCATGATTTTGTTTACACATTTCACACTCATTTTAGTTTTAGAACCTAGTTCTAGATTTGAGAACCAACTGATTGGGAAGGTGAAACCAGTGCCTCATGTACATATATTCTTGTTTTGTTTTTCTTTAAGAAAATTCTCACGCAAAAGACGCATTAAAGTTTTATAATATTGCTGTGTTTTAGAGTATCCCAGAATCAAGTTGGACAGCACTTTACCTTTGTACTGACAGACATTGAAAGTAAACAGAGATTTGGATTCTGCAGACTCACATCAGGAGGCAAAATTTGCTTGTGCATTCTTAGGTGAGTATTTGTAGTAAAACCAAACCAAAACAAAACTGGATGTATTAATCATTAACTGTGCCTTTCTTTGGTACTTTGTTGTGCTTAGGATGCTTAAAAATAATGTGTATAATATTTTTTTGCTTACATGTTTTCTCTAGATCTAAGTAAGTTGAAAAATAATTTTATTTTCTATATATAGTATCAATTAGGCTTAAAGATTTACCAGTAACAGTAAAATTTTTCTTGGAAGAATTGACTCTTTTACGATTCATTTTTGTGGGTTTGTGTTTTGGAAAATTAAATATTTAGATGTGAGTTCAAATAATATATATGTCATCTGTTAAATAAGATGCAAAAAAAGTCAATGACAGTAATGCATGCTCTTTTCTACCACTGATCCAGAACTTGTATTTTTGAAAGTTAAGTTACTGCTTTAGGGCAACGGTTATAAACTGGTGATTCTGGATCAGAAATGTTCAGAGATGTTTTATTGGTCCTGTGATGTTTTAAACATTTTGAAGATGTTTCTAACTTTATACATTGTAGTAAAATTTTGCCTAAAATTCATGTTTCTGATTTCTTTTGCCAAATGGGAATGACTGCTAATTCTGGTCTTGCACTTCCCAGTAGCAGCAATAAGCTGGAACTAAGCAGCAGGTTTGTAGTTGTGCCATGAGTTTGCTAGTTTGTCACCAGTCCTGCCTGTCCTGCTTCAGTTGCTTACATCATCTGCTTGCCTCAATATGTAGTTAAGAATGTGTCTCCTTTTTGTAGACCTAGGGTTTTGAGATGCTGGCTGTTGACAAGGAAGGGACCTAAAAATTAGCTTCCCTTTAGTATGTCTTGATGAATCTGAAATCCAGATGTATTCCACAAAAATAAGATTCTATACTGTGGTTATAATATGGATTTTGGTCAAGCTAGATTCTATAGAAATGCTTGTAGGAAAAGAAATAACATTTAATAGTAAAATATTGCAAAGAAAGCTTTGGTGTAAATTTGATGTTCGTTTGCTGTTTAGCTACATTCATACCATTCTTTGTGCTTTAGGTTCTAAATTTACTCAGAACATTTGTTAGAGTTGGAGAATTTTCTTCAATCTTTATTTGAAAGTAAATGCTTAACTGTTTTACAAGTAATTATGTTTTATCTGGACGAGGATTATGCTTCAAACTATAGGTTGTGATTCTTACAGTTTAAAGCTGGTTGGTTGTGCATTGAGAGTGGGGGTGACAGTGTGGAAAATGGGTTGGGAAAGCTCCTTTTATCATTGTGTTTCATGCTGAAGTTTCAAAAGGGGGGTATAACCTTATCTACTCTGTCCAAGACAGGTTTGTCCTCAGAGAAAGACCAAAAGCTGTATGTCCTTCTAATTTTTCTCTGTCAATCTTAAGATTTTTCATTAAAATGTCAAATTTACAGAAGAGTTTCAAGAATACTACAGTGAACTCTTGTATATACATCAACCAGATTCACAATTGTTAACATGCTTCTCTCTCTCCTTCTTCTACGTCCCTCTCAGTACACATACACCCACAAGCAAATTCTTTTTCTCTCTCTTTCTCTTATGGTTGTTTTTGCTGACCCACTTGAGAGTAAATTACAGACATCATTTTTCTGTAATATTTGAACCTGCATTTTTACAACTTACCTCATTGCCTCTGAAATGAGTTCCTGATATTGATAATTAAAGATTATGAACCTTTGTCTTCGTGTTGAACTGTTAAAATATTTTGAATACACTGAACCTATTCATAATTAGCCAACCTTTCTTAAATATTCAGAATAGTCCCTACAAATGTGCTTATAGAATAAACATTCTTGGAAATTTCTGCTTAAGTTTAGGAAAGCCAATATTACTTCAGAATAATTACACAAAAAAGGACTATAGCTATTTGTTAAATTCGTGAATGACTGGTATAGTGTTCATGTCTCCAAACCAGGGGTCATTAATTTGGAGAAAACAGATTCTAAAAAAGTTACAGTAATCGAGTTATTGTTGTCAAACTTGCATATGTAGAAGAACATCTGAGTGTTGTAGTACTTTTTGGATTAGGAATAGTTTGACCCGCAGAAAATAAAGTTATATTACATACATTTAATGAAAGAGTAAAATCATACATGCCAATAAAGAAAACCTTTCACAATCTGCATTACTGGGTTATTTTATGTTTAAAAAATATTCCTTTTTCATCTGTATCTGTTCATTTATTTTTGTCATGTGACAGTACTTTCTGGTAGATAAGAAATAGGTATCAAGGCTCTATGGAAAAAAAAATAGGGGAGAGTCTTCAATTGACAAGTTTCTATTCTCCAGCTTAGTTTTTCCTAGGAAATTTAAAAAAGACTGCCATCTCAAGATTAATGGCATAACAGAATCTTTGTCCTGAAAGGCAATGTGCTCTGTTGAGAATAGCCAGATAAGAGAATAGCCAGTAAATTAGAGAGCTATTTACTTTTAATAGTGAAAGAGAATTAAAACTTAGTGGAATTCAGCAGTGTATTCAGAAAGTTGTCGGGGCGCCTGGGTGGCTCAGTTGGTTGAGTGTCCAACTTTAGCTCAGGTCATGATCTCATGGCTCATGGGTTCCAGCCCTGCATCGGTCTCTGTGCTGACAGCTCAGAGCCTGGAGCTACTTCAGATTCTGTGTCTCCTTCTCTCTTGACCCCTTCCCCACTTGTGCTCTGTCTCTCTCTCTCTTTCTCTCTCAAAGATAAATAAACATTAAAAATTGTTATAGGTAAATACCTATTTTAAGCTATTAAAATAGCTTAATAGTAATTAATGTATGTCTGTGAAAATAATTTTAACAAGTCTCTTAAATGCTATAGTAAGGAGACTAATGGTGTTCTGGGTCCTGGTTTGCCTATGAATTAGAGCAGGTCTCCCCCCAGTTTAGATTTAACTTTATAATTATTGAAAGGAAGGATAAACTTTAAATGTACTAGAAGAAAATATTGTTGGTTTTTAAAAATTACTGTAGTTATGAGTGCTTTTATATCCATCCCTACTATTGAATCTTGAGGCCAAAAAGATTGGCATCTTTGTATGATGATGGAAGCTTTTGTTAGATGACAACAATAATAAGGGAATTAAAAATACCAATAATGAGTGGCACCTGGGTGGCTCAGTTGTTTAAGCATCTGACTCTTGATCTCAGCTCAGGTCTTGATTTCAGGGTCATGAGTTCAAGCCCTGCTTTGGGCTCTGCACTGAGCGTGAAGCCTACTTAAAAAAAAAAAAAAAAACCAAACCAAAAAACAATAATGAAGTGATAAGAATATATTTACAATCACTGTAACAGAGTTAATAGCCATGATACATAATAAATACCTACAAGTTAATGACACAGAGCCCAATAGGAGAATAAGTAAATCTTCAAAAAACTAGAAATAGCAAACCAGCAATTGCACTACTAGGCATTTATCTAAAGGGATACAGGTGTGCTGTTCGAAGGGACACATGCACCCTCGTGTTTATAGCAGCACTATCAACAAGAGCCAAAGTATGGAAAGAGCCCAAATGTTCATTGATGGATGAATGGATAAAGATGTGGTATATATGTATATGTGTATATATATACACATATAATACATACAATGGAGTATTACTCGGCGATCAAAAAGAATGAAATCTTGTCGTTTGCAACTACATGGATGGAACTGGAGGGCATTGTGCTAAGTGAAATTAGTCAGTCAGAGAAAGACAAAAATCATATGACTTCACTCATATGAGGACTTTAAGAGACAAAACAGATGAACATAAGGGAAGGGAAACAAAAATAATATAAAAACAGGGAGGGGGACAAGACAGAAGAGACTCATAAATATGGAGAACAAACTGAGGGTTGCTGGAGGGGTTGTGGGAGGGGGGATGGGCTAAATGGGTAAGGGGCATTAAGGAATCTACTCCTGAAATCATTGTTTCACTATATGCTAACTAGGGATGTAAATTTTAAAAAAAATTTTTAAAAATTAAAAAAAAAAACCTTATATGACTTTACCATCCCCCCCCCAAAAAGAATAAGTAAAGTATCTGAATAACATATTCACACAGGAAATTTAAATAGCATATACACCTATGAATGATGCTCGGCCTTACTGAAGGTGAAAGAACTGAGCACATTAAGATTGACAGAAGTGGAATAAAAAAAACAACATGAGGGGAAACAGACATGTCATGTACTGTTTATGGGACTATAAAATGACATAACCTCAATTTAATAATACCTATCAGATTTGTAAAATCTCATGCTCCTTAACTTAATTATAGGTCCACAATTTTAAATCTCAGGAATATTGCCCATAGTCATCAGTAAAGTGTGAGCAAAGTTACTACAGCATGGTTTATAAGCAAAAAAATGGGACATAAATATCCCTCAGTAGGAGTCGATTAAGTATGTTATGGTACATTCCCCAGTCTCCCCTGGTAACCAACCCCCCCTTACCTGCTAGAATGTTCTCTGTGTTTTTCACTGATGTGTTACTCTCCCAGTGCCTACAATAGTGCCTGGCACATAGTGAATTCTTAATAGTTATTTGTTGAATAATTAAATTAATGTATAAATGACAGGATGGAATATTATTTATCTATTAGGGAAAATTATATATACATACAGATTCTGACTCAGAGAAATGTTTATGATATATTGTGAAATGAAAAGTTTCTTTCATGGTATGTTCTTATATTATTAAAGAACAATTTATATGTGTATATAAATTCATGTATTTTAAGAAGTAGTTAACAATGAGAAAGAGTATGTATTAACATATCATTGTATATATTTATAAAAAAGACTTAGAAGGATAGATCTCTAATTTTGTTTTACTTTACACATTTCAGCATTTATCCATTTTTTTGTGTGATGAATGAGGCATTTTAACCAGCTTTTCCTTGTTCTAAAATCTAGATATTAGAACTATAAATAGCATATGAAAATCAGTAGGAATTTAACCAGATCATCTTTTGTCAGTTAAAATATGTAGTCTCTTTGCAAGATAAGAGATTATTTTACTAG